CGTCAAGGTTTTTCAAGTTACAATTTTTACGTGTTATTCAACAATTGGAAATGCATTGAAGAGTTTACTGCTTTAAATAGGCTTCTAAATGTACAGATATTTTGCATGTATTTCTCTATATGACTGAAAGTTTCAGGGCAGGCAGTACATTAATGTTCTGCAGTAAAGCCTGAACTGTGAGAAATGATGTAACCAGAATTCTTTCGGCAGAGTCCCTTCTACCTAGAAAGTCTTATTTATGGGTACTTTTCAAAGATGTGAGATACTTTTTCTCCATAACCCAAATATCAATGTTAATAATTTCTCCTTTCAAAATTATGTTTATAAGATTAACAACAAAAGTCAAAGTGTTTCTATCCTGTGATAGTTGTAGTTTTCGAGACTTTAAATACCAACTCTACAAAGTGGATAAACAGAAGATATAAAGTATAAACAAGGAAATAAAATAATGTGAACCAACACCTTTTTACTTTTAAGAAATTGTTGTAAGTGTGCCCTATATTGCTTAGCTGGACACAGACAAAGAAGATTTGCAGCAGGACTGCCAACCAATTTTTTTGTGATGATGGAAATGCTCTCTTTTGCACTGTCCAATAGGGAAGTCACTAGTTACCTGTGGCTCCTGAGCACTTAAAAGGTGGCTGATGAGATGGAGAAAATGAATTTTAAATTTTATTTAATTTCAATTTATGTTTAAATTGCCACCCTTGGCTACTGGCTACCCCTATTGGACAGCATAAATCTAGAGGAAGATGATGATGTTACTTTCCTCCTAGGTTTACCTGGGCAAGACACTGGATAAAAGGGTCAGAAGACTAAAGATCACATAAAGAGTTTTCTTATTCTTTATCTACCTAGCACAAGATCTATAGGAATGTAAAATAAGAGACGCTGAGAAGCTGTAATCAAATAGAGTATGGCTTCATCTGTGTAGTTCACACACATAGCATACACAGAATGTGAACTTCGAGTATAAAGGTGTCATTAGCCAGCAGAGAATCCAGCTCTCCTCAAGACCTTTCACACTGACCAGAACAACCATCAAGCTCAAATGGCCACTGTTTTTCGATCCTCTGTAAATATACTATATAAATACAGTGTACATGAATATATGAGCTACATGAATATACTCTAGTTACTCAAAGATCTGACTGGTTATCTTTCCAGGGAACGTAATGCTGTCCAGCTACAGCATGTCAGTTTTCCAGTTTATTCTTTCCATACCCTTTGAGGCAGACATTCTCTACTGGTTGACTCAACCCCAATTATTAGCCACTAGAGGTGGTTTTGTGGCACAGTTCTGATCTTCAACTTCCTGGGAAACCCACTGCTTTCCTGATCCAAGCACCACCCCTTCTCCTTCTTTTTCTTCCTGCTGGAATGCACGTGTTCTGAGGGAGACGCCAAGAAGAGCATGGAAACTTCAAGGCTGACAATGCTGAGCCATTGAGCCAATGTCAGCCATCTGCCTACCCCTGAACCACTCATTAAATGAGACAAATGAACCTCCGTTAGGTAAGCTACTGAACTTGGGTTTTCTGTTATTTGAAATGGAAAGCAATCCTAATGGAGACAGTTTTCTTCTGAGTTAAGTTATTGGTGCACCAGAACACTTGTAGTTAGTTATTTTTCATTTGTTCATTTACCCACTTAATAATAAATGTGTTGGGGGTAGTTACCATGTGCATAGCTAAGTGCAAGGTAATAGGGTGGACAAGCAGCCCATGGGAATACCCTCACGGAGCCAACATTCTCGTTAACAGACAATGACCAGCAAACACTTAAGTAGTGAGGTAAGCTCTATAATAGAGGGGGCCTAAAGAGTGTGCACTGAAAAGGCTTCCCGAAGGAATTGGCATTTACACTGAGACCTGGATAATGAACAGAACTTAACTAGGTAAAGAGGAAGGAATAATACATATATTTCAGGTCAGGAGGTAGTAGAGAAGACAGAGTGTAGTTACGAGGAAATGAAAAGAGCTCAATGTTACTTAATTATGTGTGGGGCACCTGGGAGGGGAGACTGAGTAAATGCAGAAAATGAGGCTGTAGTTTTAAGGAAAGGCTAAATCACACACAACCTCAAAATCATTTAAAGGAGTATGGACTGTCTTCAGAAAATAATGGATAAGCCACTGAAGGCTTTAAAAGTCAGAGGAGGGTGAGCTCCATAAATATACCATATTTAGAAAGATCAGCTTGCATTTTATGTAGAGAATGGATAGGAAGTGGAGAGACTAGAAGGAGGGACACCAGTTAGGTGAATGATGTAGTCACTCAGGCAAAACCCAACAGTTGAGGAGGAAGGATAAAGAGAAGTGGCTGGATTTGAAAGCGATTTCTGCAGTAAATAGCTTTGTGATAGCTTAGCTATTACGCTTGTAAAAGGAAGACTCAAGCATGAGTTTCTATTTGGCAACTGACTGGGTTGTGGTAACGTTCACTGGAGCGGCATCATGGGAAGAGAAGTAGGCTGCATCTGGAGAAAAAGTTTGGAAGAGGGCAAAGATGAGGTCAGCCTTGGGCTCATTCAGTTTGAGATTCTGGAGAGACATTCAAATGGAAATAAGTCAGTGGGTTATGCAGATCTGAAAGTCACAAGATCATTGTCAGCAGCAAATGACATAAATGGATAGTCATCAGTGGACTGAAACGACACAAGTGGATGCATTTTCACAGAGTACATGTGAAAAAGGCACAGGGAAGAATTTTAGAGGCATGAGTCAAAATTAGTTTGGCAGACTTCAGCTTCTGTAGGGGCCAGTGGAAAATGTAATTTGGCTGCTAACATTCTATTTAACTTTAGCCATTGGAGAAATAACTATATACCTTCTTTAGGTGGTAGATTTTTAGGGACCAAGTCAAAAAATATAAACTGGAAGCCCCTCCTCTGAAGAATCCAAGACCTCGAGGAAGTGATTAAAAGAAGAGACAGAGCAGCTTGGACATCAGAGGAGCATGGGAGTGTGGAGCTAGGGGGCTTCCAGAAAGAGCTGCACAGATGGGATAGGACCTCCCTGAAGCCCTAGGTTTGTACCAGAAACAAGTTTTCTTTTTGGCCCCTTCTTAGCTTACATTCCCTAAACTCACCAAACTGATTTCTGATCTTAATTTGCTTTCCCAAAGAAGAGGCTTCTCTTTGACAAACAAGCATTTCCCATTGAGATCTAACTACTGAGCTTCTGATACCACTGGCTCACATATGCCTAAGTCTTCCTGAGCCTAATCTGCCCTTATTTAACTCAACAGATACCAGATCTATATTTGAATTGGAAAATTCAAACCTTGCCACTGAGAGGAGGCAGTAACTTTAAGAATTTTTTTTTCCAATTATCACTCCCCTATTCAAGCTTGTCCTCTCTCCACCAGGGTCCAGGTGATAGGGCCCCGAAAGTAACTCCCAACTTCAGGATGAAACTTCTTTTCCATGGTCATCTGAACACCCACTATCTAGAATTCAAGACTAGAGCTGCTCTCTTCCCCAGGGCCACCGATGTAAATCCAGTTTCGCAGGAGTTTTCACTCTTTAATTCCTAACTCAGTTTCAAGATTTACTTGCTTTCTCAGTTTCTGCATATCAGTAGCTTGTTACTCCTAAGAGTTTCTGCTCTTCAAAATCTGTTGGTTTTTCTCCCCCTGATGGAGGCCTTTTCTTCTTAATAAAGGCCACCTGACATCTTCAGTAATTCATGTCATCTTCTGGAATTTATTTACATTTCACTGTGACTTTCCTCATCACGGTACAGGTACTCTTTTTGCCCCTGGTTTTTACTTTAAGATTTTATCTATTTACTTGAGAGAGAGCGAGAGAGTGCATAAGCAGTGGGGAAGGGTAAAAGGAGAGGGAGAAGCAGACTCCCCCCTGAGCAGGGAGCCCGACTCGGGGGCTGGATCCCAGGACTCTTGGGATCATGACCTGAGCTGAATTGTCCCTGTTTTTTGACAGAACTAAAAATAAGTATCCAATAATCCTTAAGTTACCATAGCATGAACAAGGTAACTACATTATTCAAAGAGAGTCATCATTCAACAAGTATTTCCCAGCTCCGCATTGTATCACTTGGTTCAGGACCTCAGGATGTGTCAAATAAGAAAGAGGGTCTTTCAAACCATGAAAGATTCTGGACTCCAGCAAACAAACTGAGGGTTACAGAAGGGAGGGGGATGGGGGGATGGGGTAGCCAGGTGATGGGTATTAAGGAGGGCACATGTTGTGATGAGCGTTGGGTGTTATACGCAAATAATGAATCGTTGAACACTACATCAAAAACTAATGATGTACTGTATGTTGGATAACTGAACATAAAAAAAAAAAGAAAGAGGGTCTCTGTCCTTAGGGAGTTTAGACTAATATGAAGGACAAACATTAAACAGTTAGTTACATAATTCAGGTTTTTATTTAAAATTAGGACACGTGCTATTAAAAGAAAAGCACTTGGGGTTAAAGGAGTGCATAATAAGGACACAGAATCTACTTTGAGGAGATAGTATCTCTAAGAGCTGTTAATTTTCATTGATACGGAAGGGGAAATGAAGTTCTGAGTCATGTTACACTGCACGGATTTTCTCATTGAGTATGTGGAGTGAAATACAATGTTGGCACCATGGACAGCTATAATCCCATCATGAAACGCCAAGCAACTTCCTTGTCAGATTAAGAATGGGGCAGCATGTGTCACCATGGAATAGAATATTTCTTTGGATAGAGTTCTCAAAACATATTGACAAATGGCTCTTCTGGCTATAAATCAGTATTTTTGTTTGTCTAAACTCTTAGTTATATCATTGCCTGGGCAAATAACTTAATTTCACCAGTCTTCAGGTTCCTCACCTTTAAAATTCTAGAGGATTTAGGCAAGCCTGCGTATTTGCTTGGCATTTGTCACCTCGGATCCTCTGAAGCCCCAGTTTAGCAGGATTAGGAAAACAAATCTGCGTGGTCCACCCGGTGTCACCATCATGGCAGCCAACACTAGTTTCAGAAATAATGTCATTCATACCTTTTATGAATGCTTGCCCAAGAGGCATTGATGTTCTCTGTTATCATGTGAACTTTTCTGGTATCATCCGCAGAATAATCCCGGAGAAGTTTCAGTGCCAAATCATTTGCAACATCTACATTTATCTGCCACTGGCGGAGGTCTTTGGCCAACTGCTGTGGATGCATATGGGAAAGAAAATGAATGTCAGTTTTCTCTGAAATCTTGAGTTGTAGTTTCTTAAAATTTTTCATAAATAGCTTTTGAATCCTCAGGTCAGAATATGTCTACATGATTACTTTTAACCTACCACGTGATTTAGTCAATCATGACTGTATAAACTTACCCACTTTTCATGACAAAACTTTTCAAATGCCGCATCTTGAGCAATACTCAGTATCGGGTATTTCAATTTAGTGGCAATTAATTGGAAATCAACTGGGTTTAATGATTTTTTTCATGGGAGAGAACTATAAAAATAAGCTCCCATATAATTGTTGAGTATGGGACATACCCAAATCTGAACAGAAAAGCAAATCTCATGTATTTCTTTCCCTCTTCATTAAATTGTTGAATTGTTTATGTAATTAGTGCCATCTACTGGCATTCAACTACAGCTGCATATAGAAAATATCACACATCAAAAGAACAGTACTGTTATTCTAGTTGCGAACGTTTTCAAAGGACCAGTTTATTCATAATACTTTAATAAATATCCTCCTTTAAAATTAGAATAAAATTTTCAATGTAAGAATCTTGCTAAACCAAATGACCTACGTTTTCTTGTTTGTCTCTGACAACTGAGTATTATCAAGCTCTGTCTTTCATCACTTGATATACCACATATAAAATAAGTAAACCAATAATAGGTTTATCTGGAAACAATTAACCCCGGCTATAAGTGCATGGAGGAGGCTTCTAAAGCATTAAGATGATATTAAATTGCTAAGGTGGTTATATCAAATCCAACATAGTGGGTTAAGCCACTGATAAAGGGACAGAGGAATAGGAATAAGCAATTCAAACAAGAGAAAGAATAAAAGATGTCCATTTTAAAAATTAACTTAAAAAATAAAAAATAGAGCATTAAATCAAGACAGTGATGGTATAATTTGACACCAATTATATTAATAAAAAATAAAACCTAAAGGTGGAAGGGCTGTGGTAAAACTAGCATATCCATGTACTACTGCTGGGAACAGTATCTAGCAGGACAATCTGGCAAAAGATAGCAAGTGACATACAAATGCTTACTCCCACTGACTTAACTATTGTACTTTTGGTATTTTCTCCTAATAAAATATTTAAAAGAAGAGAAATACATTATAGGAATAAAGACCTTCATTAACTAATATAGTACAAAAAATGAGAAAATTTCAGTGTTTAATGAGAGGACATTAAACTAACACAGTACATCAACCCAATGGTCTAACATGCAATAAATGGGCATCAAAGTCATACGTAACAAACAAAACACAATTTCTATCTATACTGAATTTCTTAAATCTGTTAAGTCATGAACTAGAAGGGGAACACAGGAAATTGAAATGAATTGATGTTTCTGAAGAATAGTCATTTTTGTTTTAATATTTGTTCTTTCATGTTGGTATGCTGTTTATATAATAAAAATCAAACAAGAGTAATTCTACTGTAGTTCCAGTATGTTTGGGTGGACTCCTATTCCTTGAAAATGTATAATGTATATATAATCTGGCATTTCTCAGTTAACTAGAACATTCTATTCTCGAATCCATAGAAATAATTGTATTTGTTGCATATAACAAGTAGAGCCAAATAACCAAATTAGTACCAAGCATCTAAAGCCAATATCACTAACTTTTGCTATGAAAGGAAAAAGGGAGAGAGTTTTTAAAGGTATAGAGAATAGTTGCTACACTACAAACCAATTAAAATGTATCCTTGTGGAATGTCTGTCTTTCCTTATGTACTCATTTTCTCAAGCCCTGTGGCTCTTATTTTCTACTTTTCGGAACCTCACACTATTCAAAAGCCTTTCTGAGGTGAAACATACCCCCTGAAGGCTTTCGCTTTCTAGAAATATCCTAAGGTACAAAATGACCTTTCCATCCCTTCCCCTCCTTACTTAAGCCAAAGCTACAGTGTTAAAGTAATATGCACTGTAACTGGGCCTTTTTATCCATAAGATGATGTTTGCATTTTTAAAGAAGAGTTTATTATCTATCATCTATTCAATCTCTAATTGGTAGCATAAGAATGCATGAAACTGCGACCTATGACTTGGTTACATTTTTCCAAGTTAATTCCTTTTTAGGGATACCTTTTTCTATTAAAGAAATATGATAAAGCAACATTAGAGCATTAAAATTTTAATAAATGTAATTAAAATCACTTATTTTACCTAAGAAAGATAATCTTGGAAGCCACCATTCACTCATGGGTTGCTATTTGAAAAGTCTAGAGGAAAAAGGATACGCCCTGTGGTTCTAATCTATAGATCTTAAAAAAATACTCAGAAATTTAAGTTGAAAACTATGCTCGAATTTTCCAAAATCTGGAAGGAAATATCAAGCTAAAGTTAGAGACTTCATAGTAAACAGGTAAAAGAGTGAGGCTTGATTTCAAACCAGAGCTTTTTGATAAACTTTAATTCTTGAAAGACCAAAAAAAAAAAAAAACAAAAAAAAACCCAAAAAACCCACAAGTGATATATTTTTCTTCAAATTTGTATTCACATTGAAATTGAGATTTTTCTATCTACGGAAATCCTGACTGAGCTCTAACCCTCACTGTATACTGCCCAGGTTTTATGAGGATGTAGGATTAAAAAGAAGAAATCCCACTGATCTTGAGCAACACTGACAGGGCAAAGGTCCTTATCTCAACTCTAAGGTTCTCAACAACAGCGTTCTTGTCTCCCTTCTTAAAACCATTCACCTGAACAGATGGTTTCCCTTCCTCAAATATGTTGACCAACCTGGATTTTAACCAAGTTGTCTTTCAGACTACAAACAATGACCTTGACCAGTTTTGCCTACTACTGTGAAATTTACTACTGGGATAACTCCAAGCCACAGAAGGAGTGTAAATTCAAAAACACAATAGAATTCACACACACTCCTTTTTATTTCCGAATTCTATTTACAATGGTATACACTACAGGGAATTGTTTGTATGGTGATCACAGTGTGTGAAGAAATTTGAAATACTGTGAACACAAGCCTATAAAAAAAGATGATTTTTGTGGGTGCATATATATGTGGGTGTGTGTTTTCCATGAAGAATATAAAATGCTAAATCCCCAAAAGATTGTGTCCCCAACCAGGAAAGAAATATTTTATATTCAAACCTAATATGGTGCTGATATTTTATACACAGCATTTTAGGCAGAAAAATGACTGTCAGCTATGGGACAACCTGAATTATTTTCAAGAACTTTGAGTATTAAAAGTTTTTCATTTTAATGTTTGCCTTTCCTTATTTTTTATTTGTAAGAATTCTTTTTAGGGATACTGACTCTGCATGGGAGAAAACAAGGAAGGGAGAGAGAGAGTAGTTAGAAGTTTGGGTCTGCTGTGTTGGAATCCTAGCTTGATCACTTCCTAGTTGTGTGACAAACAGGAAAGTTAATTGTCCTCTTTGTGTTTCAGTTTCCTTCTTTCTCAAATGGGTGTATTAACAGCATCTACCTCGAAAGATTATCATGAGGGTTCATTTAGAAAATCCAGGGAATACATTTAGAATGGTGACTGGTGCATTCAAAGCATTCAGTAAATAGTAGCTATAATCATTGTGATTATTACTACCCTTTCTATTACTACTACTCCTACTCATACTAATTCTACTGCTACTACTACTATTTTGAATAAGCCCCCCTATATTCACCACAGGGTAAGCCTCTACTGAACGCAAAGCAAGGGACCCACTGTTTTATAGACATTGTCTATAATGCTGCAGCTTATCTAAAAGGCTCCCTTTAATTCAGGAGATAAATGTGAGTCCGCAGACTTAAAATTAAAAATTTCAGGTTGAGTGTTGTTGAGGTTTTCTTATAAAACATATTTTGGGACGGTCACCTACAAATGAAATTACCATTTGTTCCAGACGAACTAGAGTTTAACATTTTTAATGACTGTGACTCAAAGGAGCTTCACGAAAGGCACTACGGAGTAATGAAAAGACATCTTCCCAGGAAGTCTTGTTTGGCCATTGTTTTGCTGTTTGATCTTAAGAACGTCATTAACCTTCTGAGTCCCAGTTTTGTTGTGTGTAAAATTGGATGGAGTGACTTATTCTGCCTATGCCTCAGGTTTGTCATAAGGCCAAGCTCAAAACTGCTCGGAAAATTATAAAATAGGATCCTAATATATTTACGGACAAAAAGTCCTACATACTGGGTTTCTCTGTTTTGCTTAGGATACTGTGTGGGCATACATAAACTAAGGAATTCATTAAAAAAAAATCTAGTTCTGTGAGCTAACAGCGGAAGAGCTTCTTAGCTTTTAGATCCGTTCTCTGGCAATCTCCTACTCTACTCAGTATTGCAGATGAACTAACCCTTCGGCGGATGAGAATTTCCCAGGATTTGTTGTTAGTTGGTTTCTAGATGGGTTAGGCCAGTGAGAGGTCTCGGTAGATCATGGAAGAGCAGGAGGAAGGGGGAAACTCAAGTATATTTTCTCCTCTCTATGTGGGCAGAGCCTTCTTCATGTCTCCATTTCCTAAGGAACAGCCCTTCCCTTTGTAGTGTCAGGACCTCTGTGCAGCCTCCACAGCAGTTGAGTAAGCACCAGATGGTTCTGGTTTCTGGACTTTGGTAACACTGGTTGGCCCTCCTGCCTTTGAGGTGGCCAACAGCTTCCTGATATTGCTAACCTCCAAGCTGCCCTACTGTCTCCTACTGGGTTTCTCAGGTCTTCCATTAGCCATGGAACCAGTGATCGATATTAAATTTCCTCTGAAATATCTAGGGTGGTTTCCAGACTGAACCCTGAAGATCCAAACTGGAAGAAATCTCATAGCAAATGGGCCCTGCCTAAAATGACACAGTTTAACATAACAAGCATACATTTCATTAAACAGAGATGACATCTTGCATCCTTCTCTTTGGTGTCAGAGGAAGAGGTGATCCTTGTGCTATGGGAAGCAGATCCCTCCGTCTGGACACTCATCTATTCTGGGATCTTTGTGTCTTTTC